GAAGTATTTCTCTCCACCTCACAAAGACCTCCAGAGCAGCTATGAAGACTGAACAGTACATTAGCATTATGCTAACATAGCCCAGGATTAAGGAACATAAAAGGCAGTAAAGCCTTGATAAGATGGTCTTCAGCAGTTGGCAGCAGGAGAAATCGATGTCACAAAGACAAGCAAGGCAAGTGTACTGGAGGAAGAAGAAAAGCTGGGCCACACAGAAAGAGAACCTCCTTTTCTTAAAACACCTGTCAAATTGACATTTCTTAATTTTTTGATGCTCTCACTACTTTTCTCCACTCCGCGATCCTCTACGGCTGTTTCTACTGCAGCCTATATAGGGAAAGAATTGAAAACACTTATTTCTGCTGAGTATTTTATTTTATTAAAATTTATTTGATGGAATGCTAAAAAGAAAATGTTTTCAAAAGTGATGTGAAAGTGTGAAAAAAAAAACAGATGAGTGTGTTTTCTGACACAGCTGCATGGCCTGGCTGCAATATTGAGACAAGTGCACGGCTTATGAATGCGGATCACCCACTGAAACGCCTACAGCACAAAAAACATTCCTGCACCTTCCTGCCCGTCTAAACAAAATAAATCAATCATGTTAAAAACCCACACAGAAACAAGCCATGTCAACACTAGGCCTGATATAAGATGTATCGTAATTTTCTAAGTAGATTTTCATGTTACATCCTTGGCCATTACAACAGAACACAAATACAGTGGTGAGCTTTGATCACAGCATGGTGAAAATTTTATGAAGAACAAGATGGCTAAGGGAGACCAGATCGAGGTATCAGTAGGCAGGACAGAAGGTTCTTGGATGTGCACAAAAATGTGCTGTCACACTTGTCTGCTGCCAAGAGAGAGAAGAAGGGCGTCCAACAAACCTTTAAATCACAAGCTGTAGGAACAAGGCACATTTGAGACATTAAATACCTTAACACAATCTGGACGTTAGGTTTTTGCAGTTCAGTAAATTCATGTTCCATTTGTTAATATTTGATGTTAAAATGTGTGTAGTATATATATATATATATATATATATATATAGTGTCCTCAAACATTTTGTTTTTACGTGGCCACATAAATAAATAAAAAAAATTCACGTTTAAAAAAAAAAATTCCTTTTCTTCTATAATATGGGTGGCAGTAAGCACAAATATGTGCATTTAAAATGAGTATTGGAAGTGTGAGTATTGGAAGTATAGGAATGGAAGTGTTTCATATACTTACATACTTTAAAATTTGGGTTTTGGGGCAGACAAAAACAAACAACAGAAAAGGTTATTGGAGATTTTGAGTTGATGAGCAGCCCTCATGCATTCAGTTCCACTTGGTTCCACACAGATAAGACAGGAATTTTAACACACTCAAGCGTGGGCTAATTAAAACCCCACACTCTGTGTTGCCAGAACAGGAATCAATATGCTTATTTAATTAATCTATACATCACAAAGGCACACACAAGATCAGCTCCAAAACAGCTCACTTGGCTAAAGGAAAAAAAAAAAAAAAAAAACAGAGAAAGAAAAAAGACAAACATTCTTGGCTCTCCATTGTGCTTGACGATAACATTGAATGTTTGAAACTGCTAAAAGTTTGTTCCTTGAGGGCTTACAAAGTCAATTACATACAGAAACACATGTATACTGTGCACACTATATATCACAAACATGGGCCCTTTTCACTAATTGAATCGAGTTCAATGGCATTAACAAAAGATTCTCATTATCTAGACTTCACCAAATGCTTTGCCCTCTGGAACTCTTTCACACTTTCAGGCTGCTCAGAAAACTCGGCTCCGTAAACCAGGTCCCAGGCCTGTGAGAAGTGCTAATTTGTAAACGAGCCTGTGAAAGAGAACAGAAGGTTATTAATAATTCCCTTGACCTTGTTCGAATCAGATATCACAATGAAGGGTAATGGTCAATAATTGATTTACTCAGGCTCAGTTGTCTCTTTAAGAATGATGATTTTTAAACATGTTGACACTTTTGCTATAGTTAAGGAAACCATCTTATTAAGGGATACTGGCAAAAACTGGTTGAGATTTAAAACCGAATGTGGGCTTACTTTTCTTGAGGCCTGGATTTTATATTCTAATGCACAGTTTCTGGCAAATTGCACTGAAACCCCTAAAGGGGTCTTGAGGGGGTGTTCTAAATTTTGTCATTTAAAATGCAAAATGCTTCAGTTATATATAAAGCACAGAAAACATCGAAAGCTGATGTGCTAATAAACTTTAAACAAAACTGCAGCAATGATTTAGAGTGCATCTCTTCGTCTGCCTCAGTGAGTTCCTTTGATGCAATTTTTTAAAATTTATTTAAAAAGCAATTCAGAAATCGAAGAATTAAAAGAATACAATTCTTGAAAAGAAAACCATTAAGCAGTTTGGGGGGAAATTAAAATGGTAAATAACAAATTGAGTTCAGACATACAATGTCATGCAGTGAACGTAAATATTTATGAATTTCAATAAAAAATACTATTTATATAATTAATCGATTAAGCTCACTCACATATATTTGAAAATATTTATGCTTGGTTACATCACATTATCCATTGTTAAAATTTTAAATTTTAATCCATTGTTAAAAGCGCTATATAAATGAAGATGACTTGACTTGACATTAAAATAAAAGTTTTAAAAAAATTAAAAACCGCATAAAACAAACAAGAAAAGAGTACATTCCTAAACGTTTTAAATGACATTTTTTCATTCTTTTAAAATATGTCATAGACCCTACATTGGCTTTGACCTCAAACGAGGATCTCGACCACATCTTTTCTCTCTCCTCAGCTGTGACTACAGTTCACTCCCTTTTTCACTTTATCAATTCAGTCTTCCCCTCTGTTATCTAACCCTCGTTTCTTTTATTTCTCCTTTTGTTTTTGGCCTCAAAATCCAATTAGGCTTCATCTGAAACACCAGCAGTGTGGGAACTTTATCCATTCATGAGGGGAGATAACTAAACTAATTAAACCTAGGTCCCTCTCTGAAGCTCACTTGAATGTGTAAATTAAAAATGCAGACACAGCCTAGATTGGATTAGATAGATAGGCCATGTAAATAAGAGGAGGACGTTATCTTTAAATGCCACTAAATTGTTTTCTGCTCCCTCTCGGCACCCGGTTTTTACACCTCCTCTCACAGACACTTTTAATGACGCCACGGCGCAGGGAGGGAGGGGAGAGAGGGCAGAAACAGTGAGAGATCTGGAAAGCGGGGCCATCTGGGCACACTGGCTGGGTGTTAGTAGTGCCAAACAGGAGTGAATGAAGGTTGGGGTGATTTTCAGCAACATGTGAAGAAACGCTGGCTGTTTGCTCTAATGGCCTCCTCTCCAGCAGAGTAAACACAAACACTAAGCCTGCTGAGTCCTGTTTACTCCAGTTAGCTGCCCTCTCTAGCCCACAGGACCACCCTGTGCTCCCTAACACACCCACACGCTGCAGCCAGGCCCAAATAAGCTTCCTCTTGGGGCTTATGGCGCGTCCAATCAATGGACGGGGGACTAGACGGAATGCTTCTGTTTGAGAGAATGAAAGGGTGATTAGGAGAAGATCCAACATTGTCGGACACAATGTGTTCATCAGTCAGTATGTTAACATGCACTGTACATCATGACACAATGCGCCATTTAATATTTGAAGGATTAAATGTGTGTCAGGCATTACCTCCAATCCACCAATTGTAGTCTGATTAACATGTGCATACAATGCATACATTGCCATTCAAAAGTTTGGGGTTAGAAAGATTTTGTTTTTGAAAGACGTCTCTTATGCTCACCAAGGCTGTATTTATTTGAATTAACATACAGCAAAAACAGTAATATTGTGAAATATTATTACAATAAAAAAAAAAATGTTTTCTGTTTTAATATACTTTAAAATGTAATTTATTCCTGTGTTGGCAAAGCTGATTTTTCAGCATCATTACTCCAGTCTTCAGTGTCACATGATCCTTCAGAAATTATTCTAATATGCTGATTTGGTGCTCAAGAAACATTTCTCATTATTGTCAATGATGAAAACAGCTGTGCTGCTTAATATTTTCATGGAAACCATGATCATTTTTTTTCAGGATTTTCAGAATAGAAAGTTCAAAAGAATATAATTAAAAAAAAATTATATATATATTTTTGCAACATTACATATGTCTTTACTGTCACTTTTGACCAATTTAATGCATCCTTGCTGAATAAAATAATTTAGACAATCACATTAGCTAATAGTCTATTAGTCCAGCTTCACAAAAATCAGACTGGTATGATCTGCAAAAAAATATTTTAAAAAGACAAATTATTACTTTTAAACCGCATGTAAAAATTCTTAAGACACACATGCAGGACCAAGTGTGAAGTCAAACTGTGAAAATGTGAGCTTTATATCTATTCAAAATCTTTAGAACTACATTATATTCTTGTTTTTCAGCCCTGTTTCCTAAGAAAATTCTGGGAAAATTCTAATTAATTGCTTTAGAAATTTCCCTTTCACTCAATCACATCACGTACTGAAAGCAAAGCCTACCAGCAGAGAGCAACTTAATTTGAAGCTTTGATCAAGTAAAATTAAGAGTATGACAACTGACCACGTTTAATATTATATGGGATCCGTACTATCACAGTGAAGAGGCCTAAAAAAAACCCATTTAGAGCTCTCAAGCATGATCAGATGAACACAGAGTAACAAAGACCCAGTAGGATGTCAAACACGAAAATCGTGCGTTTCAGAGGCGGATGATTGAGTTCAACGGGACTTGATGACAAGGTGATTACAGTTATTATGTTGGCACGCAGAAACATTTCTAACAGGAGATTAAATTAAGCAAGCGTCAGTACTAGTAAATTTAACCCACAAACGCAGCGCTCCAGAGCCGGAAAAACAGCAGCTGTATTCGTAGGAACGAGCCTACGAGGTTTCTTTTCTCTAGCCTTACAGGCCTCCTTGATAGTCCTCTGCTTCTGTCAGCGACTGTCAAACGAGTATCATCAGGATCATCCTGACTGTTTCACTGCAGAGAGAGGGAAATAGGGATAAAAGGAGAGGAAATGTGAAGGGTGATGATGTGTGCCAATGGAAGGGGTGAGGGAAGAGGAAGTTGTAGCATGAGATAGGCAGCAGGGGGAGCAGCTCTTCTATTGATTGGAGGCAGTGATAGAGGAGGCTTCAAACCTGCTGTGGGGCGGCCGGGCGAGACCGGCCAAAACACCCAACTACGGCTTCACTTCAGCGGGCTCTGGAGGGGCCGTCTACCCAATCCTCCTCTGTCTCCCCACTGCTCTTATGTGGAAATCATTGGCTTTGTTGCTAAGCAGGGAACAGATGACAGCGGTGTAAATAAACTTCATCCTGTATCGCCGTCTTCTAAAATGACTAATCAAACATATTGCAGTTTTATTAGAAAATGGATGCTAGAATTGTGAAAAGAAATTCAAAGACAATTATCCAATATTTTGACAATTCAAAAGCTGTAAAGACAAAAATGGATGTGCATGTGAGTGAGATTAAAAACTACATTTCACTGTAAGAAATTAAACAGGCTCCTCAGACGAGTCTGCAATTGAGTATTGGCATAGCAACGGAGATATAAATGAGACCATCTGACCGCAATTAATACCTGACTCATTCAATTCCTGGAAAGATTTATCAGTTTATTTAGTATAAAGTAAAAGTATTTGTCATTTTAAATTGTGAAGTAAAAGGCACCTGAATGGAAGGGGGAAATTGGCAGAAAAGGTAATTTCCTTTCATTAACTCGTCTGCTCTGGTAAGTGCTTGTTAAATTTAGGGTTCACCAGATCACACTGAGGTGTGTGTGTGTTGTGGCCAAAAACATCTGCTAATGAGAGATTCCTGATGGAAAATTGGCTGGCGGACAGAACTAGGCGCAGCTAAAATCTCAAAATTTCTCGGTGGGAAATTTTCTCTTGCATGTTTAATTCGGTCGCTATGGATTTTGAATATATTTGCATGCATGTGTATGTGTGTGTGTGTTTGTTCTGCATCTAGGCCTTTCCTTTATCCACATTCATTTTTAGCTATGCAAGGGCATTCAGGCGAGGCCACTCAAGTCAGGAAGTGTTAAACTTGCCAAATACAGACAATTAAGAGCTTTTGACACAAAACCAAGAACTGAGAATCTGCAGAGCTGCTATTGAACTAGGTTTAATACTCTTTCATACTTTCAGAATCACACACACACATACCGCAGGGTTGTTCACGTCCTCATCTTTGTGTTAGCCTCTAACCCCAATATTGTAACAACAGGAACGCAAGACTTAAATTGGGTGAAACAATTTTTCCACAGCCGCTAACCATATTAAATCACGGCCCCCGGAAGAGGCTTTGCTTTTGCAGCAGCGTCATTAGGGCTTTAAATGTTTTCAAAACATCCCTCATTAGCAACCGCCCTTCCACCACACACACACACACGTACATCCAAAAACAGTGAGTTCCTGGATCTCATTTCATGGTAGGTAAGAATTTGCAACAGCGGCGACGTATCAAAAAAGGCCTAATCTGTTATTCCCAGAGCTGACAGCTAACTGACAACACCTAGTCTTTATAAACACACACATCAGTGCCGATGCCCCTGTGACGGAATGACAGACGTGAGATGAGTCATTTGAGGTGGCTGGAAGAATAGACGTGCGTTTGTGTGTGTATGAAACTCTCCTCACCTTGACCAGCCCACGCGCATGGGGGCACGACACTGACCTTGGCATCTTGGCGATTAATTTGCCCCTGATCTTGTCTCCCATGGTTTGAGTAGCATGTGTGTCAGGTCCGATGAAGGTGACACCTTCTGCTGCCTGCCGAGATAATAAAGGCTTTACCTTTACAGCTCAAGCATATCAGGTAGAAGCAGAGCATGCTCACTCGCGTGTAAATATGCGTGTGTGTGTGTGAGAGAAAGACAATGTAGGTGGGCAAAGAAATTCCGCTATATATGCTCATTCCTACCCATTTTCTTCAGAGCAGCTCATCGTCATGTGAACAAAGCTGGAGATATTCGCTTGAAACAGAGCGGTGGGTACCGTGGCAGACCTACGGGCCCATCTAGATCAGAGAACAGTGGTAGTGAAGGGAATGGTTAATTACAGCCTGACGCCTCGAAGAGACTCTGAGCTGAGCAGGAAGGCAGGGCGGTACAAGGCACAGGCCGGTGGAAATGTGATCTGCACGCTGAAGATGAAACTGTGGAGAACACAATGTCTGTCTGCTAACTTCTGCTTGGATGATCCTGCACTGGGACATTCCCACTGCATTTCGGAAGACATACGGACTGAGAGGAAGTTATACTGTAAATATAAAAATTGACATTACAAGATATTACAAAATGATTGCCTGGTTTCACAGACAGGGTTTAGATTAAGCCAGGATTAGGCCTTAGTTCGATTAGGGCATTTAAGTAGCTTTTATAAATGTGAATTAGAAAAAACCTTAACTGATGTGCATCTTGAGACAAAACAATGGCACTGACATATTTTAAGATATATCAGTGAAAGTTGCTTTCAGTTAAAACAGCTCAAACATGCATTTTAGTTTGGGACTAGGCTTAAGTCTTGTCTGTGACACTGGGGGTAAATACAAGGAATATTTATTTATTTATTTGATTTGTTTATTTAACAGGGAATGCAGAATAATATTGCTACAATTTCAAGCAGCCGATGCTATATATACACAGGCTTCTAGCCATAGGCTTATTTGCAGCCCCAGTCCCTAGTGAGGCTTTAAAAAAAACGTTAATAACAAGAAGCTGAGACTATGTGCAACCATCAATGTTCACAAACCTGGTTTTGAATGAAACAATTTTTTTTGTTAGGTTTTGTTAAAAAAAAATACCCAACTCTGTTTGCATTTTCAGTTCAACTGGCAAACTGTTCCAAAGCAGTGCACATCTAACTAAAATAAGGACTGTGCAAATTTAGTTTTTTCTCTTCGATACAATGCAATTCTGATTAGTTGCACCTCTTTAGTGATCCCCTTATTACTCTGTTTGGATATTAATTGGCATATGATATCTGATGCAAGATTGTTTACATTAAAAACATTTTAATAAGAGACTATTTATACAATTTTCAAAACTAAGCAAACTATATTTTTTTTGTAAAATATTACAATGATGCCATCTAATTGATTTATTGTCCAAAAAGTTAAGAGTTTGTTTATAAAAAGATCTAACAGGTTTAATAGTCAATTAATACCAGATTATTTTTGTTTTGTTGACGACTGGAGTGATTTCAAAACTTACTGTGTTTTATATTATAAAAACATATTATCCAGAAACTATTACACACAGTAAGAAATTAATACAGTATATTTTTTTCTATGATGAGGATTTTTTATTATTTATTTTATATTAATTATAAATTAATAAATCTCATTATTAATATTATTTATACATAATTAATATTATTTGGAATTTTATATTAGTTACAGTTTATATATATATATATATATATATATATATATATATATATATATATATATATATATACACACATTTTATATTTATATTATTTTTAACATTCCCAGAGGAACAATTTCTTCTGCTTCCCACAACAGCGCAGACTTTAGCCAACCGGTCCGTGATGTTGTGACATCTTACAAATTAACCACAATTAAAAGTTCATGCTCTCCAAAATGTCACTCACTTTCCCTTCACAGGTCTCTATTTACTTAAAACAAACCAGAGAGGGGCTGGAGGGGGTGACAGGAGCTGTTCTTCTGCTGAAAACAGGTGTTTCACTGCCAATGACTGTGAACAACCTCATTGCAGCACACTCTGGCATTTGTGTGTCAGTGTGTGTGTGTGTGTGTGTAAACTGTGTCCAATATCACTGTTATCATGCCATTGAGGCCCTGCAGAGGAGGATACGTGCCCCCTCCCCAACACACAACCTTTACTTTAACTCACTTTTCCCTCATCCCCATTTACTACAGACTCTTAACATAATAAAGGGAACCTGGAGAAGTAATCCTCAGAAATCTGCTTTCCTCTCTCGACTGCTCCTTCAGGCAATACAGCACGAGAAAACACTTCATTTGAATTCTTAAACTGTACAAACTGTGAATGAGCTCCTTTTAGCTGCAAATGTCATTACATCTCCATTTCCAGGGGAGAGCAGTAGGGGAAAAGAGTCTCTCTCACATTCATGACAAACCCTTTTAAATAGGGCACAATGGGGCAAGAGGGCTGAACCCCCCACCCCCCAAAAGGCAGGGGCCATAATATCAAATGTATTTACCTGGCACTTATGCTGCAAATGGGGTTCTTTGCTCTTATTCCACAAAAAAACCCACACACACTAGAGTGGCGCTGACCCTTTTGAGTGCAATTGTATCACTGTCTCTTAAGAATTTAAAAGGATGAAAATTGAAAATTTGGCCACCATGTTGTTCCAAAAATGTTTGAATTTCTTTCTTCAACAGAACATAAAATATATTTTGAGAAAGTGTTTTTTTTCCCTCCATATTATGGAAGTCAATGGTTGACAAAATGTTTGCGTTATCAACATTCTTCAAAACATACAGTCATATAGGTTTGAAACAATAATAGGGTGATTAAATGATGACAATTTTCATTTGGGGTGAACTAAACCTTTAAACCATGAATTGTGTCATGTTTAAAATAAATAACAATAGGAGAAACTCTCTGTGATCATGTTTTTTTTTTTCACTGCTGAAAGTCTTTATTCTTAAGAAACGGTCGGAAAATCCATTCAAGACTGGTGTGTGTGCTTGTCACAATGACATGTGAGGTGTCCGTCCATATTCACAAACAGCAGTGAGAAACATTAAACATGACACGAGAGAAATCTTGACAATCCTAAAAGCCGCAAAACACAAGCACAACATCTTGCGGGAAACCAGCCAAACCAAACATGGCATATGGCAGCCATTAAAGTGATCCGGCATCAGAGCCGACTTCAGCCATTAAAAAAGCCACACACAGTATTTCTGCTTGATCATGTCACTTTAGCAGATCTAATTGGCTACGTTCTGTCCATGTTTCACAGCAACAGTAAACCACACTTCCCAGCCGGTCCCTTTCATCTCAGCAGAATTACATTAGCGCAGCTGTGTTCGACAGAGGCCGCAACACATCACGACAGCTAAGAACACTCGGAATGATTAGAAAAGCAATAAATCCCAGCTTTCACGAGCTGCGCATTAGCACGTTATGATATTTAAAATCACAGCCTCATCACTGTCAGCGGTCAGATGGCATTTGAACGCAAGTCTAGGTATTTTGAAAATGATGAAATGTGAAATTTGAGGCTCAGGTTTTCAGATAGCCCATTTTCTGAGCTACGTTGTGAATTAGCACATGTATGCTAGCAGGCAGTCAGGGGCTGAGACGATAAGCGCTGCATTGATATTCCCTGAGAGTACGTCCATTCACGACTTCACATGTTCACCCTGGTAGCGATCGGATCAAAGGAAACTTTCCTCGAAGCACATCTGATCAAACTCGACCGTGCTTCAATCATACACAGACACATTTGTATTCCAACAGTCATTCTACTCAAAGATGCGATTTACAATACTATACTTGTAAACCAGCACGACTGTAGGACTTAAAATGTATTTAAAATCACAAGTTCTATATATACAGTATATATAGAGTCGTTTCTAGATGGAAATCGCCAAATAGCCAGTCATTCACTATGGTTATCCCTCTTTTTCCAGTTCTCAGAACCATCTACATTGATTTGTGACGAAACTACTGGCATGGGGGGGCCGCAAGCCCTATGAATAGGGCAACACACAGACAGACACACACACACACACTCACACATGTTTGACTACCACTGAGCCTGGCACAAAAAAGGAGAAAAAAATGGCAAAGATTAACTTATTGAGGTCTCCATTGCCATAGCAACACAGAATAGTTTTGATGCGTCTCCCTTCACAGTCAATGAGGTTTGAACGTATCACGGAGCAGATAGCTTTTCCGTGGCTTGTTACTAAGGGGGCTATTTAATGCAGATACTGCTGTGCGTCTGAGCACAGATGGCTGAATACTCGAGCATGGCCACTTTGAAGAGAGCTCCCGTCCACATTTTCAGGGGGCCGCTTTGCAACATTGATCTGAAAGGGGGGAATGGTTGTTAATAATGAATAAATCAACAATGGGGAGAATAGCCCAGGCAGAAGCAGTTAAAATGGAATAGCGTATGACTCTAGAGTGATGCAGCGGATTAAAACATGATGGTTGTCATCGCTCGCTGTACGATCGGGCCGTAGTGATATGACACACCAGAATCAAGTAAATATGGGTTTGGGAGAGATTCTAATCAAGCGGACGTCATCTTAATTGAGCTGTCTGTCAAACTGAATACTGTTGTTCTGTTTTTTTGTCACGGCATATTACTGTATTACTCGTAGATGCATGCTCGTACCGGACAGCGTAACGGCTTCGTTTAGTCGCTCTGGCGTGGAGGAACACGCTGTGGGTTTGGCCCATTCAAAATCGTGTTCGCTAGCTGTCATGGAATCGTAGTTGAATATTTTATTTCCTCTTTTTGCGGTTTATTTTTGAATATTGTATGAGCAGGGGGAAATATAAGAGAACAAAAATCTCCCTCACATTTTTTGAGTAAACAACGTGCTCATTAACATGCTAGTTTTCTCAGCAGGAATAAGAAAAGTTGTGCAAAATACACTCCATTTGCAAAAACACTTCCGTCCTCACAAAAGAATTTAATTACGCCGTAGGACACAAGCCATTCAGTGCGCACCGGCAACACTGAGACGAAACAGACACACACCAAGCAAATATCCAAAACATAGCAAACACCTGCCCTCACTGAAAATCCCCACACCTGTGAATGTTGCTGTGTGAACATCCATGTTTGACACGTTTTCCGCAGTTGTTCATACACGCACCTGAAGATATTGTTGACCCTGTGGCAGTGCAGCCACCCCTTTCCCGTAGCTCAGGCCTATCCCCCCGACGCTGAAGGACGTGGCCGACAGGTGAGTGTAAACAATTCATCACTACTGTGACACCTCCACATCTGCCAGGCACAACAGGGCCAGGGAAGCTGTCAGTCACCTCAGCCATCCTGACTCCCCTCAGCCTCGCTGGAGCAGGACCACTATTACAAGCAGATGTTTCCTTTTATGAAAGCCGCATGCAAGACTTTCAGACCCCTTGGAGACCTATAGGAGATAATAATAAATATCATTATTGCATAGATTTACCAAATATCTACACAAATACAAAGTAACACATAATACATAATATGTTTTGCTTGAATATGCCGTTTCTGTAGATTAAACTTGTTTTTTTTTTGCAGTTTGTTTGTAGATATGAAAAACACAGAAAGTTTAAAATCATGTATATAATGGGACCAGAAATTCAAGAATTATTATAATTGTTATTATGTAATTTCTTAGGTACAGTTGTTCAGATTCTATAGCATTAATAAGATAAATACAATCAACAAATATATACATTTGTCCTATTGTATTTATTTTATTAAAGGCACACTGTGGAATTTTTGGCCACTAGGGTGCGCTCGACCTGTAATTTTCACGTCTAGTGCCCCTAGAGGCCACAAGCGCCGCAGCATTGTCGCAAAAGTCAACAAACAGTCAACCTCCCGTGTCTTTATGTGTGTGCAGACGGCATTTGATTTGTATGTTGGAGAAAGTTAATCGATTCACTACTGACCAAAATAATAATATAAATATAAGATTAATAATATAAATCCTATAAAGAAAACAAATTGAATAAAAGTAGAAAATGTCTGATCAGGTAAGTCGCATTGACAAGGGTTGCCCAATCCTGCTCCTGCCGATCGTCTGTCCTGCACAGTTCATCTCCAACCCTAATCAAACACACCTGAAGCAAACAATTAACGTCTTCAGGATCTCTTTGCAATGGGTTGGAGATGAAATCGAGTAGTCGGGAAATCGTGTAACAAAACTGATATAACTCACTACATATTTCCGTTATTTGTAGTCTTCAGTTTGTTTTTCCTTTTACACAAATACAAACATATATGAGCTGAAAGGAAAAAAAAAACATTTACATTTGTATACGGCAGTATGTTGTGACTGACTTATATCAGTTTTGTTACACGAATTCGCAGTAAATATTACATTATATATACACTTTTATGCCGATGTTTATTTTAAACTCTCCCTTTTTCTTTTTTTGGTCTCCTCTGACAAAATCTTTGCTTTCTTCGCTTTCTTCCGAGTAGCTGTTGATTCAGCCATGACGACAACATACAGACGCCGGCAATCAAACGCGAGTTGAGCTCTCACGTTAGAATTTGAGGAAGTTGGGGTGGTGGGGGAAGTGACGTATGCCGTAAAGCGGTCGAATTTTGTAGTTCTTTTTGTGCTCGGGTTCCTACCCGAAACCCGAAGTTACATAGTGCTAGTAAAAGCGATACAGACACCTTCAGGCTTCGGCAGACGTGTCATTCAACCTATTGTAAGTCGATGTACCATCTCAATGGGTTTTGGTAATATATTATAAAGGTTGAAAAGTTCCACAGTGTGCCTTTAATATTACAGTATTTTTTAGCTGAACTATACCTACATAATCATATTCTAAAAATACTGAAATAATAATAAGTGCAACTCATCAAGTAACATCTAGTTTGTCTATAACTTTAGTAGGTCAGTCAGCGGCTAAATGTATTCTATCTCTGAAAGACATCGACCTCTGCTTGATATGAAAAGCTCTCAATTACAAGTGTCACTTTGTGATGGCCACCATTGTCTAAATACACATAGAGGCCTGAAGGAAAGAGCACCTACAGTGCTGGAACTGTGGCAGGGTAGTATTTTCATACGAATGAGGCTGACTAACAGGTGATGAGTGTCAGACCCACAAGTGGCCCATTGTCACACAGAACAAGGACAATATGAAGCAGAGTTGTTCCATGCCCTCTCCAGCAGGGGCTGGGATCATGTGCAACCACAGCCATCCATCATCCAGGCTTTAACAATAACACAGAGCTATGTCTCCCCATGTACATGTACTGACCCCCAAACCCCCTTAAATACACAATGATTATAGTAAGCAAACGAATACAATTACAGGGCATTCCAGATACACACCCTCCGTCGTACGCCAACCTCATAATGCACCTTATTCTTACAGTGGCTTTTTTATCAATTTTGATGTAAATCAACCCCACGTGGTGGTACAACTCAAACTAGATCACATACTTAAGTACTATACGACAGATTAACAAAACCATCGGCATCAAGGTCTTACAGGTTGAGAAACTCAAGAGCAAATACTCACAGGGGACTCAATAACAATGCTGGGGTCCTGGTGGGCCACAAAGCCCATCGAGGTCTTTTGTTTCCAGAGGAGGGCTTGCATGACAATTACAGACTGACAAGCAGAGCAGGGGGCCAGAGGAACCTGGGACAAGGCCGTATTGTTCCTCTCCCTGTGCACAAGGTGCACCTCCTTCTTACCGACAGGAAACAGAGAGCCGACTAAGAATAATCTGGGCAGGCCAGAGGGTTTTCAAACCAAATTACAACTAAAAAAGGCCTTCATTTAACAGTAGAGCTTACCTGTTTTGGTTTGGGGTGGAGAGAGGAGGAAGGAGAGAATGAGGCAGGGAGTAAGGGAGAAAGAGACAAAAAAGATAGAGAAAGCCACTGTGTGAATTAACCCGCCATTTTCCTACTCTTTAAAAGGTAATAATTATGGAAGCAGCTGGAAACTTTTGCGGCTGGAATGAAAAGCTAAAAGCATAGCTGATAGCTCCCATTTGATTTTTGTTTGTTCTGTCTTGAATGGCCATTGGCTGGCCAGCAGAGGGGTTTCATGGTTGCAGGGGGACTGCTCTTCTATTAGGCTTTTTTTTTTTTTCATGCCTCAATTTTTTTCTTATCTAACACATACAAATTGAAGCAAAAGGAAAGACATGTAAATGTTGTGACATACAGAGAGGACTGCGAGTAAACAGAGGTAGGTGAAAATTGGGCAGGGTGGGGTAAAATCCCCTCAGGTAACAGAGGCAAAGATACCCCTCCCCTTTTTTGGAGATTCGCCCCCTTTTCAACAAGCTCGTCAAAATAGCGAATGCGCATACGAAAAGCTGGCATAGATGGTGAGTGTCTGATTATTAACATAAAAGCCACATATAACAAGTTAACAACCATGGCCAGGAAACACAAAAGAGCCTCTATTACCTGGATGTTTACAGTTATTTACTTCTACAGAGAGTCCTTTCCTCCTGCTTTTCTCTGGACAATAGATGAAAATGGCCTTTTTAACATGTCAAGAGCAGCGGTGAGGATTTCCACTACTAAACTGCTGAGGGCTTGACCTGATTCCAGGTTCCCTTTAGACTGCTGGGAGGTTGGACGGCATACTTGGTTAAGTTGTGGGAAGCCAGACCAAATTAACCCAGAAGTCGGGCCATCGGCCAAAGACTGCAGCTGCAGACAACAGGTGTCTCCATCAGGGTTATGTACCATTCAGAATTAAATTGAGAATGGCTTTTAAAGTCAATCACTGAATTTGAATTGAGCTAGCAAATAGGATGTATTATTGCATAGAATTAGAAAGTTATAATAAATTGAAATTCAACAAATTTCATAACTGTATTTAACTAGGGCCAGCGGTAGATGGATGGATGGATGGATGGATAACAACTCTGAAGTGGAGATAAATAGATAGATAGATAGATAGATAGATAGATAGATAGATAGATAGATAGATAGATAGATAGATAGATAGATAGATAGATAGATAGATAGATAGATAGATAGATAGATAGATAGATAGATAGATAGATAGATAGATAGATAGATAGATACTGAACAACTCTGAAGTGGAAACGTATCTTCAATTTGATAAGATTAGTTTCAAAGCACACTGCACTTGACAGAATATGCATTTACCAAGAAAGACACATGCTCATGCAAATACCCATGTATTAAATATAAAAATATAAACATAATTAGTGTATCAGATTCAATATCGTGACATTTTGTGGCAGACAAAAATCTGGCAGTCGTTTGTAAATGCTAGGCCTTTAGGAAAATTCCTTTCATTATGACTACCCTTTTAAGCCGGTGATTTTCCATATTGAAATACTTTCCATTGTACTTACAGTTTGACAACTCCACTTTCAAAAGCTGTGCTTGCCTCATTTCGTACAATGCTTGCCACAATGCTAATCTCACTTGTTGAACTAGGAAGCAAAAACTGAGCCAAGTATTCTAACATTTACGTCATTTTACGCAAAAAAAAAAATGAAGTATTTGATCCAAATGAGCTTGGCTTCAGGGAGTTTATTTATTATTACTATAATTATTTTAATCTGCGGGATATTTTCCCCAAACAAAGAATTATATCGTGTGTTTTCTGTCGTCTGTAATCAAAACGATGTCCGATTCCATCGGTGAATGACATCAAAGTACCGCGAGAACGATTAGAGAACAGACGGCTCCAGTGCTCCGTATGCTTTTGAATCGCTCTTGCGGTACTTTGATATCACAAACCGATCGGTCTGTGCAGCGCAGGTTCAAGTCGAACAAGCCTTCACTCTTTTGAGTCGAATTGGAATAGCATAACGATCTCAAACGGTTCGCGATTCAGTCTGAGTAATTCATACAGTGACGCTCTGAAATCTTTGAAGTGGTTTCTCACTTAGTTCGTATTACCGGGATACTTTTGGACACAGAGCAAAGAGATGGCAGGATTAACTATTTACCTACAATTTTAGCCTACCTGATAGGCCTATAATTGCTTCTGCGTGCATCCTGTCAGCGACGAAGAAGGTTCGACACTTCTACGTGCAGCTTGTTAACGCCCTTGCGCTGCAGGTAAGGCTACATTTTCCTACCACAGAGTATAAAATACACTAGGCCTATACCAAAATGCTACACGTAATACCATTAGGCTACCATGTTCAATATTATGAAGCTGCAGACTTGGAGCCTGCATCTACAGTCCCCCAGCCACCCAGAGTCCCGCATTCTCAGACCCCTTGTTTTTCGAGCACTCAATAGAGTGCCGAAGTGATGACGTCACTTTGTAGGACAACTCGGAAGCTAGCGGCGCATGGGTTCCCTCGATCGAAAATCTATGCATTTTCCCCATAGACTTTTGGAAAATCGCAAAAAATAAGATCTGTGTTTAACAAAGAGTTGTGACCCTTACACGTTTTGTCT